CTAGTTGTCACCACAATCTTTAAATAAACGTGTTTTGGTATGCGTACGAAAGACATCTTCCTTCAAAATAGTAAATTACATACCTTAAGAAATGGTCCTGAATTGTATGAATAAAATCTGGATACATAGTTTAACACTTGTCCATCAAAATATTGCTAATTCATTCACGCATTGGTAATATTTGCATTAAAAAGTGCGATCACTCGATTTTGTTCTGCTCAGGGCATGAAAAACAGCGGCGCCGGTGGTGTAGTGGTAAGCGTGATTGCCTCTCACCCCAAAAAACCTGGGTTCAATACCAGTCGGCGCCCCGGGATTTTCTGAGGCACAAAATCTCTGATGCCGTCTTCCTTCAGAAGGGAAGTAAGGCCGTTGGTCCCCAGGCTATGAGTTGATGGGTCGATAGGTAGGGTCCAGGTGTGGGAGCTGCCTCCCTGGCATCGGTAGCATTGGTACTCAGCAGGCATGGAAAATCATTTACATTCATTTGCCTCTAACTTTTTTCATCAGCAGAATTCCGGAAAATAATGTACAGAGCTTTAGTAGGTTTTGTTATTAGCTACAATTTTTGCCCATAACTCAAATCTGTATCTCTTATGCATCACGAATTAGAGCGGGCAGAACTTGTTACTGTTTTTCAGTGAATGTAAAATACATTAATTGAAAAACAGTAGTGGCTTCTGTTCGCTCTGGCTCATCATGCATAAGAGATACGTATTTGAGTTTTTAACAAAAGCTGTAGCTAATAACAAAACCTACAAAAGCTCTCTGCATTATTTTGCAGAATTCTGTTGATGAAAAAAGTTAGGGGCAAATGAATGTAAATGAAAGCACGCAATGAATGCAAATGATTTTCCATGCCTGGTACTCAGTACGGAAAACAAAATCGGCGGAAAACAACCCTAATGAATAAATAGCATAAACGAACTGTATCCCGGATTGGTAAATTATCCCAAAAATGGTTTGGATGATACCCCGAACACGTCGTTAAGCTCTCTTTTACGGTTATTTTTATTAGGGAAGTAAAAAAGGCATGAAATTTCAATAACTGCTTTCACTTCTCAGAACCACACTTAAAACAATTACGACACGTGCTTATATAAGCACTTTCAAGTTAATTCACTTACTACTTACTACCATATTTACTTAAATAATATAATTTGAATCGTTAAAAATACGAGCTGCGAATAATGTCTCAAGTTGAATTGTTTTGTTTACCTTTTTCTACACACCGAATTACGAAGGTGTGTACGAATCATCTATCATCGTATCCAGTGTTGTCGATTAAATTGAAACAAATTGTGTAAAAACAATGCTTTTATTGCTTTTGAAGGTGCTTAAACCACCGACAAACCGACATGACACTTAATTCTCACTTATGCCCGAAAATCGTAAACGGCCGATTTAAATGTGCAGTGATCCGAGCTGTCAAAACCACAGGATTTGTTGATCAAGATAAAAATAATTTGTCCAGAATAGATCAGACACGAACCAATTCATAATTTTTGCATGCGGGTTCGTGGCTTAGCTACTAGATATGTCAGTAGTGTACTTTGGTCAGATTTTTTATAATTTTTGCTATGGTCATTCATGTCGGTTTGTCGGTGCTTAAACCATAGAGGTATAACTCTAAGACCAGAAAGTCCTGAAGAAACGTACTCAACTTTTTGGCTCATCTCTGGTACTATCTTCGGTCCCAAGCTAATCGATGCACCCCTCGAAACATAGGAAAATCCACGAACCCCTCATTTTATCTGTCAAACTTTCATAGCGAATCAAAACAAACATAGTGTAGCACTTGAATTTCGACTAGAATGGAGTACGTTAATCGATTTGTTAGGGACCAATAGGCCGTTAGTTTCCACCGGTTGCTACTACTGAATTGTACTAGCATTTTCACCAAATGTACTAGAATGTGTTGGTTCTATCTCTTTCACTCTTCTCAAAACTGAAATGCATAAACAAATGACAAAATGATACACTCTTTGAACACTGTCAAAGATCATTGCACACAAAATCAACTTTGTTCAAATCTGGTGGCTGATGCAACAAGCTTCTAAGAAAATTCCATTACAGTGAACCATATTATTTTAATTTATGTCTTCGTCAATTAGTGATCACATAAGGGTTGTGTATCCATACTTGGCATGCACAGTAGTACACGCCAACTGCTCATTTGTTAATAACTTTTCACTCAGTTATTGAAAATTCATTTTCTTTAAAGTAATTGATAGATAAGGATCATAGCTTACTATAGATATGCAAAGAGTAAGTAAGTCTTAACATTTGAATCAACACCAATGAATTTTTACACATAAAGTCCGAGATGTGCAGCGAGCATTTCTCACTTGATTTTTACAACGCAAAAACAAATACAGTTTATTACTAGAATAAAAATACTTTTTCTTACGTACCTATTACAAGCTTTAACGGAACTCTTTTTTGACAACTGTGTGCAAAGTTATTAGCAAATGAGCAGTTCTTGACCAAAACTGTGTAAGCCAAGCATGTGTGCCTTGTTCGAGGACTTGATTAGTGGGATATCTTGTTTTTTTTTTTTGTTTATTAATTTATTTGGTAAGGCTCAACCGAATTAACTTTACAGAGCCGAGGATTCATGGTCACTATACAATACATCTTAAAAATATAGTCAAAAGGTACAACACAATAAACACTTTATCTTCCGCTATCCAAAAAGCCTCCTCCATCAGAACTGGAGCCGCTTCCAGTAGTTTCATTGTATGGCAAATTGTTGAACGCCAACGAGGGTCAGAGCGCGTCCATTGCAGCAATGGACGCAAAACGTGGTCAGCACTCACACACTCATCACAAAACGGTTGCTTTCCAAAGTCGACGACGCATCGACCGAAAGAACTGCTGATGAAGAACAATGAGGAGAACCACACAATGGTTGCTGCCGAGAAAACAGACGATCGCGTAGCACACATCGAGAGTGGTCTGCTTTTGTCGACAGCCGAGTGAACACTGAGGGATATCTTGTTAATAAGGTATCTTTGGTGTAAAGCAAATCTTTGCAATAATGATTCGAAGAGTGGTTTGCGTTTTATTCCCTTCTTCCCTTTTACGCAAAATAAATCGGAATGCGTTTTGTGCTCATAATATTGCAATACTGCTCCCGCAAAAAACACCACGACTCCGAAAAAAGTTTTCATATAGTTTCCATTTGATATCCACATGATATTTTTCCAATAACAAAATTAATGATTTTTATCTGAAATTCACATAACTTTCATATAAATCACATAAATTTCATTGGACACATAAGGTTCATGTGATTTTGTAGTGCAATTACCAATTATGAGATCACATAAAAGTTATGTGAAATTCTAATGGATATTTTCCATTGGAAATGTGATTTATTTTTTGAGTGGATGACGTCATGCTCGTTTGGCTACACTAACTGACAGTCCGTTTGGCTACATTCTACTTTGTCTCCGCTTTGTATATTGTTGTTTTAAATCATCCCTGGATGGAATGATGCCCCAATGATGTTAATCAACTATAGTAAAAAAAAAACATTAAAGCACATTAAAGCATTGACATACCATAAAAACATATCTTATAGTCAGTTACTCCTACCGGTGAAAAACAAAAAAAAAAACTTTCGACGAAGCGCATCACGGGAGAGATGAAAATCGAAAACTGCAGTCCGCAAATCGCACCATATGCTACATAATTTGTGCGACTTAGAGGCAGTCTTAGCATAAGGTTGTTACGAAGCGGTCGGGGTTGAACATTCAGGTCAATTTGCCACAGGATAGCCTCGCAATCTGTCCTTCCTTGCAGGATATCGGCCACGGTTAAGGCTCTGCTTGGGTCTCTTCTAGTCCGGAGAAGTTCTAGGTCTATAAGTTGACAACGGCTTTCGTAACTTGGGTAATCGAATCATTCCAAAGCAATCTACGCAACGCAAAGCGAAGAAAGCGACGTTGAACAGATTAAATCAAGGTTGGTTGCAAATACTCATTTCAGCTAAAATAATGTTTTTAGGAATAATAAAACCAAAAGATGGTATGATGACATGTTTTACTTGTAACTTACAAGAAGAGGTTACAAAGTATGTGTTTGAAACTTAAAACCTGTAAATTTTGCTTTCTATGAGTCACAATCAGTGATTTGCTGATCGCTGAGTGAGTGAATGAGTGTGTGAAAAATTGCTGATTGTGACTCTCATGAAGTCAAATAAACTGGTTTAATATGTCAAACACATTCTTTGCAACCTCTTCTTGTATCTTACCAATTCAAAATATGATCATAGCATATAATTATTTCATAATTAAAAAAAACATTGTTTTAGCTGAAATGAGTATTTGCAACCTTGGATTAAATTCTCTCGGCACCGTTGTTTTTCCCAAAAATGGGTATTTTTTACCCATTAATCGACATAGTGGTAATAATTTGTGATCAGTTACTGCACAGTAACACATTGTCTTTGTTGTTCCTCATCTCCATTTATTGATACCCTGATTACAATAAAAAAAACGTGATTATCATATTGCATTCCATGCGAAATAATGATGCACCTGGCGATTTAAACGCTGACCAGACAGAGCCTTTATAAGCCTATCTTGATGAAATTTATCTTGTCGATAGTTATTATAACATGTTATAACTTGGAGTCTGAACGTGGTATTAAGTTTTGTTTTTCGGCATACTATGCATTTCCATCTATTTTTGCCACACAATCAAATAAAATAAGGAACAACTTTTCCGAAAAAGATATAAGTTTTCTGAGTTCATCGGCTAAAACAGCTAATGCACAATAATTAAATGTCATTCGTCACCCTATCGAATTACATTCAGTCCTGTGCAAAGAGTAATCATCGATTGGTGGTGGTCTTGTAAGTCTAAACGTTGTACATTATAAGCTATCCACCAATCATACAAAACAAAATCGATATGTTCTAGTCAACGCTTTTCCACATATTCAATCCAGCACATCAATCAGTTTTTATTCTTCTAATAATTCATAATTACAGGATACAACGTAGCTCAGAGACGGCGTAAGACCGGCAAAATCGGTTACATTCACCGTCTGACCAAGGAAGACGCCATGAAGTGGTTCCAGCAGAAGTACGACGGTATCATCCTGAACAGCAAAGCGAAGTAAAATGCGTTCCAAAACCAAGTTTTTACTGTCTTTGTAATAAGCTAATACTATTAAACACAAGAAAAAATTATGAAAACACCTGAGATCTACACGCATCTTGTATTTTATTATTGGATGACTATAAACCCGCACTTATATTAGGATTTCCTTATGAAACATTCTAATCTAATCTAATACAAACGCAGCAGGTACGAAAAAGCATTCAGGAAAATGATTAGGTTAGATAACGCCTAATCATTTTTCTTGTCAACATTGATGAATGCAACATATCAGATATAGATTCTATGAGATATTACACAACATCAAAGCGGCCAGGGTTACTGCGTTTGCTGCAAAGATGAATCTGTGAAAGGCATTTCGTAAATCCACAGGGGTTGAGGATACGTGAACATACCGTACCAAACGCTCCAGTTATGTAAAAGTATATAGGGGAAATGCAGGTAATGTCGACCTAAGTGTCCCTAACTTGGGCCCATACATAAATTCAGCAATCGACTAAATTTTCAATAGCAACCAAAAATATCTATTAGTAACGTCCCAATAACGCGTTCATCTAGATAAAATTGATAAATAGCAGATTTTTAGCGATGGGTCCAATATTAGATCCATAGGCCAACATTTAGAGACATTTTCCATAGTATATACATATAGTGGTTCTCAGAATTTCGTAAAAATTGGTAGTTTTGTTCCTTATCGCAAAATTTTAACGTTTTTTTTTTGTCATTGGGGTGACCATTTCCATGTTAAGATGGTTCAAATGTTTTTTTATTTATAACTTTTGAATCACTGGGCCGATTTCAAAGATCAAAATATCAAATGAAAGGTCATTGAAAATTACTTATTAGGAAAAATATAATAATACTAAAAAAAAAATTGAATTTTGTATTGAAAAACGTTGCTTGTATTTGTTTTTTATGGTTTGTAGACAGAGGGCGCAATATGTTTTTTTTTAATTTTTATCGCAGTCATCATTGAGCTTCCAATGATATGACGTTTGTAAATTGTAAACAGATCCATCCCATACATGAGAGAGTCATACATAATGTGAAACAAGAAAAAACATGGAAAAATAATTTACAGATGCATTTTGGTTTGAAATGATAGTATAGTATAGTATTACTATTTATGTGTGATGCGTGCAAAGTGTAATATCCCTGTATATTCAATACACTTTGATAATCGAGCAGAAAAACATCAAAGCTTTTTTTTTTTCCTTTGCTTGTGTCAAAGACTTGGCTAAGACCGGGTTCGGTCCATCTCGCCTCTGTGGTCGTGCATCTTGTAGTTGTTAGTGTTTGGTTTATGTTATGTTGCCTTTTAGACCTGGATTTTGCACATCTTAATAAATTGAACTAGTTGTTTTAGTTCGATTTCCAAATTTTCACCGAGTATCTTCTGTAGTGGTTTATAGTATTCTAGTATTGAAAATTCAGATCTTTCGTTGTTTAATTTCACACAGTCATCCAGTAGATGCTGAATATCTTCTTTTACTTCACAGATTTCACATAGATCGTCTGTTTCCCAACCCCAGTTGAATCTTCTTTCCTTTGTTAGGGTGTGGCCCGATCTAAGGCGATTTAATGTGGTTATTTCCTGTTTGTTCAATGTGAGCCCTTTGCACCAGATTTTTCTGCCTGGCTCTTTCATCCAGTTGAAATGCCATTTACCTTTTTCTGCTGATGTTTGTTTGTATTCTGTTTTCCATTGATCCCATATTTCCTTTTCGGCTAGCAGCAGTGCATCTGCCATGACCAGATTGATGTTGTCTGATATTTTTCCTTTTGTGACTGACTGGGCTTCGTGGTCAGCCCTTTCGTTGCCATCTATTCCCATGTGGCTGGGTATCCACTGAATAACTATTTTGTTCTTCGGATTCTCTTTGATTTTTTTGACGATTTGCCATGATATGATGTTGCTGGTGATCTTCCGATCGTTCAACAGTGTTTGGCATGCTGAACTCGAGTCCATGAATATGACCGCTTTGTTGAGGTTTTGGTCCACTATCCAATCTGTAGCCTTGCGTATAGCTAATAGCTCTGCGTTTGTTATTGAGTAATTGTCGTTGATCTTGTCCTTCCGTACTTCTTGTGTTGAGTCGTTGTAGATTGCCGTTCCTGTTCCGTATTGTGACTTCGAAGCGTCCGTATACAAATGATGATAGTTTCTGTATGATTGGTTCTTCACATTCAAAAACGTTTGCTTCCAGACTGCTGGGTTGCAGTTTTGTTTGGATGGTTGGTTGGTGTCTAGTTTTGGGTATACTTTTAGGTCCGGGCTTGCGTCGACCAGTCTTTTGCGCCTCAGAGAGACTATCGAGCTGTCCTTTGGGTGTACCTGGGCCACAATATCGTTGTGTTTGGATGCTATCTTTGTAAGGTAAGTGCCAGTTGGGGGATCTTCGTTGTTGGCTGCTTTGTGGATGAACCTTGCCAACTGATTTGAGTGATATTTACTTTTGATGATGTCCTTTAATGCCAAAAGTTCCGTCAATGCACTGGCATTTGCCCGGATTCCCCCAACATCACATGGATTGGGGTCGATTTGAGGTACCGCATGGAATTTCTGATGAACGCATTTTGGAGGGTTTGGATTTTTTTCATGTTGGACTGTGCAGCTTCTCCGTAGATTTGGGCTCCGTATTCATATCTGCAAAGCCATATTCTGTCCGAATGAAACATCTGTTTTGGACGCAGCGCTGATTTCCTCAATCTGCTGAACAGTCATATCGATTTCAGGTTCCGTTGAGAATGTCTATAGAAATTGAATAAATGTCAACATCAATAAAAATTGAACAGAAAATACACTAACCAATTTGGCATTTGGGTCCAATTGTGCTTTTTTAGTTTCAGCATTAGCAAAAACTACAAGGTCTTTCATTTCTGCGAAACTCAACTTCAGTTTCTCATATTTCGCCTTTATATCTTTATGTGCTTTCGATTTCTTCTTGAATCTCTCCAACAAATCGAAATACTTGCTGCGATATGAGTCGTTATCTTCATTTTCGACACCATCAGACTGACGAGATGCCTCATCTGGCCTTTTCTTTGAGATTTGGGGTTCTGGCGGTGATACGGTGGTATGATGTCCATCAGTGTAACACATTTCGGCAACAGGAAGCTCCGGGCGATACGAATTAGCTGCACCTCCAGAAGCTGGGCTGTTGATCGCAAAATAATTCAGCTGACGTGGCCCCCTCTTATCCAGGGTACCATCCTCAAAAGCATCCAACGGGGAAGGGTCGTCAATTGGGATTGTACGCTGAGAGAATCCGGTGTCTGAGAAATCGATGACAAGATTCCTTGGCAGAGAGGACTTTTTTGATGTGATTGGAGATGCAGTAGTAACGGATTTGAATTTTTTGGCAGCATTATCGTGACGGACAGGAGAATCGGTGGTGTCATCATCTGAATCTTCTATCGCTCGAGAGCTGGATACACTTTGACCAACAGCCGAACAGATTTGATTGATTGAACACACATTCCTTGGCAGAGAGGACTGTTTTGTTCTGATCAAACCTCTGGCGGAAAGACGCATGGATGGAAGCTGACTGCTTTCCACAAATTCATCGGCGGAATCGGCAGTTTGATCATCTGAATCTTCCAATGCATGAGAGCAGGATGCATTTTGACCCACAGCCGAACGCTGTTTTGCCTTCTCACGAACTTGGTCCGTCCGGGCTTGGCTTAGATTAAGCGGATCGGTTGAATATTTCTGAGTATCCTCTGTCATGCTTTTTGTGGTATTCACTGCAACGAATGTAAGGCCACCGGTGGTGTAGCTTTCGCCATTCACTTCAGCCATTGCTACACTCAGCTATAAACCAAAAATCATATAATAATCATATGCATTGTACACAAAAAAAAAATAAACTCACAGCGTCCATCAAATGACTTTGATTGCAGTTTTTGGCTCGTTTGCGGACGCCATCTTGTTTATCCTCTGCAGTTCGTTCCTTCGGTTTTTTGGTAGGTTTTCTCTCTGCTTTAGCTGAAAATAAAAGCAAGCATGTAAACATTCATTATTAGTTTACTAAAATGAAAATATTCCAATAACAACTTACCGTTTTTTCGATTTTTCAAAGAAGTTTCCTTTTTCGGTGCCATTTTGTGCAATCAACCGAGAAAATATTACAAAACACGTCTTTAGCGTCGTACTCCAAGACTAAAATGGTGGTGCTTCTTTTACAAGCAAACAAGATGAAGCTAGAATAACAAATAAAAAGAGCCAATTCAAATCAGTTGGACAATTTCCACTTAAACTTGGTGGAAATGCTGATGATGGAAAATTTTGAAATTAATCTGCTATTCGAGCAGAATTTTTTCTGACAGACAAGAAATGAATTTTGACAGAAACCTTTACGAAAATCGACCCATCAACAACAGAGGGATTTTCAAACATCTTAATTTATTTTTTAAGTGTCAAATTTAAGTGAAAATTCACCAAATGGAACACAGCCTAAGAATATCTGATCTGAAAACCGATTTGATTTTATCAATTGCTTGTGAATTTGTCTCGAATAAATCTAGATCAACATTTGAAATACGCGAAATAATCAAACGTAAACAATGATTTTGAACGCAAATTTCTCGAGAACCAAAACACATTCAAGCAATCTAACACCAGCATCTGATGTAGGTGTGTTTTTATTCTCGAGAAATTTGCGTTGAAAGCCATTGTTTACGTTTGGTTGTTCCGCTTTTTAATTATTGGTCTAGAAATGTAATGTTACTAATGTAGGTGCTGTTTAATATAAATCTGGTTACGGATTGTATTTAAAAATTATGAAAATCTGTATCGAAATCTGTTTGCGTTGCGCGATAAGCTAAAAATAAAATCACTAGAGCATCAATCAATATACGAATAGACCTCATCGAAACATTACGCTAGAATTCACAAAGCTGTCACTTAGCGAATTTGTTTATTATCCAGTTCCAACCTGGATCGGGTATCAAGATTGTGTCTGCTTGTTATCTAGCAAATGTCAGTTTGATCGTTTGTTTTTATAACCTGGTACGGGTCGAGGTTCGCACTGACAAAAAGTTCGGGTTCGCACTGGGTTGGAACTGGTTCCAACCTGGGAATAAAAAAA